AAATCAGGGAAGCTGGACTACTGGAAATCAGAAAGCCAGATTGTTGGAAATTTGGAAAACCAGTGAAAATCAGGGAAGCCGTACTGCTGGAATCTAAGAAGCCGGACTGCTGCATGTAGGTATCTCTGCTTGTCCTTTAATACCTTAGTATCAAAGGGCTCCAATGACTTTGTCCTTGGAAACAACTTCAGCTTTGGCCTCTCCGAAGGTTCATCCAGAGTATGTTGATGCTATGTTGCATCTACTTTAAACTCGAGAGACTGGATGAGACAAATAAGACTGATATTCAAAAGTATTTATATCCTTAGTTTCAAAATGCGTAGAGGATATCACCCTCTCCTATTGTAGAAAACCATTAAAATAAAGACCACATAATTTCTCCTCCTTTACTCCAAAATATGAGGAAATCCTTCCCAAATTTCCTTCCCCGTCATTCCAAATTGGAAGATTGTCCGCAATCCATTGATTTAAGTTCTCATTCTAGAATCTGATCACCTCTACATTTGTAGGCTTTGATTGCCACCTTGCCGTTGAAACCTTCTCAATCATGCTATCCTGTGCAAATCTTGATGTGACTGCAGATCTAGACAATGTCACAGAAGGATGGACCTGCGGTGGCTCGGAGATCACGCCTCTTTTAACTAGCACTTCCTTCCTAGCCGCCCACACATTCCCAACAAAAGAAGTTGATAGCTTGGGGATGGGGAGAGATGGTGTGCAGCAATTGGATTGGAAATCGGGTGCTGGGATCTGATCATGCGACAGCCTGAGATATAGCGACTTGTTGGGTGTGAGTGGATTCTGCTACAACAACTGATGGGCTTAGAGGAGTGGAGGAGGAATCAAAGGGATTGCTCTCGTCCTCGTCGAAGTGGCGACCAATGAATGATGGAGAAGATAGGAAAGTATGACCTCGCTCATCGAGGACACGAAGAAGCCCGCTGGATGAGCCAGGGTGTGGGCGGTGGTGGTCGACGCGTGCTCCGGTAGAAGAGCTGACGGGGTTAGGGGAGGCAATCCAGGCACTAGGATGATCTTAAGGCCTCGATGAGATGCCCAGAGCAGACAAAAGTAAAAGCTCAGAGGGGATTGAATCGCCATGTAAATTTCTTCTTCGTCATCTCTCTTCTCGTTGTTCTTGATGTCCGCTAAACGACGAAGGAGAAAAGTCGGTTGAACGATGATTGATAGAGGTGGGACGATGGACATCATAATGCCTCTTGCGGCGAGGCCGGTGATGACACCGTCTTTAGAGCCGACGAGGGTGGGGAAGGTGAAGAAGAAAAAAAATCACTGTTTCAAATATGAGTGCCCCTCCTTTTCCACATGGATGCTGGCAAGAAGGAAGTCCGACGATTCTAGAAGGATGACTGATGATTAAGGTAAGAAATTTGTCTTTGATACCATGTTGAATTCAAAATAATGCGAAATAATACAGAATTTTTTTATTGATATGAAATGAGGTATAAATAACTCTTATATGAAACCTATAATAGAAAAGACAATAAAAAAAATAACATGAAAGACAAGATATAATACCTAATATCTCCAATAATCAATTCATATTAGTTATTTGGAGACAATAAATAACATAAAAATAAAAAGGCTTGAAATAAGAAAGGAAATAACTCCTAATCCAAGAAAATAAATATAAAACAAGAAAGGAAATGACTCTCAATCTAAGAAAATAATTTATTCCTCATAACTTCTCACAGGAATAAATTATTTTCTAATATAGTTTCTTAACATATTATTTTGTCCTCTGATTCTCATTTTAATTCAATGTTCAACCATAATCTTCTTGGTTGTAATCTCTCCGGCTAAGTAATGAAACGAAAAACAAAGACTATAGTTGACATAGATTGAAGCAATGACTCATCTCAAGAAGAAGAAAATCAAGAGAACTGGCTTCTCCAATGGAGGTCTTTACCATAAGTTTCAGATTGCTAATCCTAGGAGGAATATTGCATCCCTTGACGATAAATGCCATGTAGCCTGGTGTTCGCATCCGAATTGATCCCTTCTTTCTGTGATGACAGCCATTTAGGGAGATGGGAACATTTTAAGTGGCCCACCCGATGCAAAAAGCATTCTAAGGCTAGGGACAATTCTAGGTTTTACCTATATCAGAATCATTATGGCTTTGAATTCAAAGATTTTAGGTGTTACAAGCACTGCCTCCATAATTTGGTTCTGAAGACCACAAACTAACGCTTCTTTGACTTTTTCATTTGTCTTTCATAACTTTCCTTGTCAGTGTCATTTTGGAAATGTACAATTCCAGATATAACTCCTTTCAGAAGTGGAAGCTGGTGTTGATAATCTTTATTATCAAGGTATTTCTATTCTCGTGCATTTTCAACATACTTTCAACCATTTGTAAGAAAGTAGGGAAAGGTGAGTATTTGAATATTGAAACAATAATATGCTAAAAAACTTTACAACATCATATAGGTTGGAGGTGTAATTATCAACCTCATTAAAATAGTCAATGACGCATTCTTGATATCAACTCCACATTACTCGAAGGTTTTTACGAGGACGTCTGGATGATTCTTGACCATATCATCTTCTGCATTGACATAATTCATTGAGTTAGATAAAAAAAAGGAAACAATGATGATGACAGTTGGTAGGTCCATAACTAACCCATAATACTCTCAACAACAAACTTCTCTTCCTTAAAAATCCCATAATGTCACCATTTCGGATTAGCTAGTGCAAGAAGAACTCGATACCCCCTTCAAATTGACTCATTATGGAAGTCTGAATTTTCTCATCATGTTGTTCAAGGTATACTTCACGTGGATATTCAATAATTTGAATTAGCTGTCGTAGGACAAACTTGACATTCACTTCAAATTAACTCATTTAGAATTCTTAGAAATTCTTTAATTTGTTGTGCTCCCGGTGAAATCTTTATTGAACCAACCCACTGAGCAACTAGATAGTCTATAGAATAAAAACACGTTAGTTAAGTCGGCGTTCCACTTCTGAGATGTTCTAGATTGACTTGGACAAAAACTTGAAACTTTATATTCCTCTCCATGAAGGACTTCATTTGCTTCATTTGCTTCACCATTCACGACTTGTCATCAAAGACTTGATTTAAGCATGTAGAGACTCAAGCTTGCTCTCAGGAATCATCATCGTGGACACCCCTTTAGCCAGCTTTTTTGCTAAAGACGTTGCCTTATAATCTTTTCTCTTTTTTGTGGGAGCCTGAGACACATTCTTCGGATGATGTAGCAAATTTTGGAGTCAACACCCATTCACTTTTCAATTTTTACCTCCATTGAGGTGCTTTCTGGAGCACTATCGAGGCCAAGTACAAGAGTTCTCGCTCTCTCATTAACAAGCTCTTCGTTGCTAGAGGCCTTTTTAGTAATGCTTCCCTTAGACTTTAAGGCTTCTCTAGCAATCTCTCCTTGCTTATTGGAGTGCTCGCTTATATTAGACTTCATTTTTTTATTACATAGGAAGATTCTCCATTGATATATAACCCCATTATAAATAACAGAGCATTGTGTTGCGCTATTTCACTGTACTCCTGATTTTTTCATTGCCAATGAAAGTTGAAAGGTGCTTAAACTTTATCTTTACAAAAAGCATGAACTCAGTAGTAGTTTCAAAGCATAGAACAATGCACAAAGCAAATTTATAAAACTTTCAAAATGAAACTTGGATCTTTGCAATTTTATATACTATTGTTGATGTATCAAACACATGTCCAAGATCCATGTTCTCGAAAGAGTTTATGCTCTAGATCAAGTTCATGTTCCGCATACTGAAGTGGGTCTTAAATAATTTTATTTTTTAATATTCTCGACATCTTGGAATGGACAAGGGAATCATGTAACGAATGTACATCCATATTCATCCAGTTAATAACTCTTCATGGGAGCTTGAGTTGTACTTTAAAAAGTCACTCATTGTGAGCCAGCTTAAATCACTTATAACTCAAAATAACTCATTAAGCTTTAATTAACTTAGAACCGAATCTCAAGAAGTCACTCAAAGATTAGCCTTACTTGGGCCTCCGTATTGAGCTTTGAATTTGCAAGGTTATTTGCCCAAGTAACTCAGAACAGTCACCTTGGGTACTTGCAAGATTACTAGAGGTTCTTGCTGATAGAACTCGCTAAGATAACTTGCCCAAAATTCTCAGCTATACAGTTAACTTCATTGAGTACAAGTCATCTTTTCCTATATAATCAAATTTTGTAGCCAATTTATACTGACAACCATGACCCACTTAAGTTTTGCTTAGAATCTCTTTGAGATTTTTCTTGGAATCTCTTTCTGAATCTTTTCTGTGACTTGATTTCACTTACCATCTTTGAATAAAGGGTTCGACTAGAGCTTCGATAGATCGGTTCACTCAAGTGAATCGTTAATAATCAATCTTTTCACTTCTTACATTGAATCCAACAATTGTTATTTCTATTGGAGCTAATGTATGGTACTTCGTTAGTCAGCGACTACTTTTTAAATGACCTTAGCTTGATGAACTTATTATTCATCATTTGTGATTGTAATGCATGTCTTGCTTTCCTTAGATACCCGGTTCAAAATACTGAATAATGTCTCAGTCTTCTTAAAACGTTTCTTTGCTAATTGTTATTTCACAACCAAGGGTGATGATTTGTGTTTAGTAACTTTTTATTTCTTTCTGTAATTTGCTGCTTGTGTTCTTCTAATCCTACTTTTTTTGTTCTTCAAATCTCTCTTGTTGAAACTGTTTTGTTATTCCTCTTCTACATTTTTACTTGTGATAACTAAAATGTCACAATTCCTCTAGCTCCTTGTTTCTTTTAAATTTATTTGCTGCAGGCTTTTGAATTGGATAAATGCGAAGCTCAATATCATTATTTTGACATCTTATGAATTTGCAACTCTATTAAGTAGCATCTTGTTTAGGAAGTAACTTAAAATTGTAAAATGAGCATTCATATGTAGCATCTTTCTGAACATGCTATGTTTTGTCCTGTTTCTTACAGATTACTACTGTTGAGGAGGCCAAAGAATTCTATCCTTTATTTGGCCTTGGAGCTAATATAGCTCTTATCTTCTCTGGCCGAACCGTCAAGTACTTCTCGAACCTGAGGAAAACATTGGGCCCTGGTGTTGATGGTTGGGCAATATCTCTGAAGGGAATGATGAGCATTGTAGTTCTTCTTGGTTTTGTGATCTGTGGAATCTATTGGGGAGTGAATAAGTTTATTGTAAATGATCCTTCTGTTCCTAGAACTGAGCGCAAAAAGAAGGCAAGCTCCAAGAAAAAAATGTTTTTTCTTATTCCTTTTTTCGTTGTTCTCTATTTAATCATATATTTTATTATTGTTTAATATTTATTCTGTTTTCAGGAGAAGCCCAAACTTGGCATGGGCGAGAGCTTGAAAGTTCTGATCTCTTCTAGATATGTGAGGGATCTTGCCACCTTGGTTGTAGCTTATGGTATTAGCATCAATCTTGTTGAAGTAACGTGGAAATCAAAGCTTAAGGCACAGGTAATCTATCCTTGAATCTTCTATATATATATATATATATATATATAGCAAATTAAATTTATTCTCGGTATAACTTGACAGTTTCCCAGCCCCAATGAGTATTCATCATTCATGGGTGATTTCTCTACCGCCACCGGCATTGCGACTTTTACAATGATGCTTCTAGGAAGAGTGATACTTAGAAAATTTGGATGGGGGGTGGCTGCCATGATTACACCCACAGTTTTGCTGCTCACTGGAGTTGGTTTCTTCTCTTTAATTTTGTTTGGTGAGCCACTTGCCCCTCTGCTGGCACAAGTTGGCATGACTCCTCTTCTTGCAGCTGTTTATGTTGGCGCACTACAGAATATTTTCAGTAAAAGTGCAAAATACAGTTTGTTTGATCCCTGCAAGGAGATGGCTTATATACCTTTGGATGAAGAGATGAAGGTATGTACAAACTTTGTCGAGGCAAATTTGAGAATTAAATAGAAGTAAAGGTTAACTGGTTTTAATTTTTACACTTCGAGTGGATTGATGAATCTTCTCACTTTTCTATGTGTTCTGCTTTTTCACTTCTCCCCTTCAATCGGCTAAGTAACATATATGCCTGGAAAATTTAGAGCCTTGACTACTATAAACGAATCTATACCTTATAAAATTTTATTTATAGTCATTTTTCAGAGGTTTCATTTCATTATTGACAATGGTGAACCTGCTCTTTAACACATTTGTATATATTGAATTTGATTAAATGCCATTCTTCCTCAAATCTCGATATCACTGGAGAGAAATAAGAGGCTAGATTCCACAATTGTAGTTTGTTATGCCCTCGTATAAGGAGCGAAGTTATTTATCTTTTTTATCTTTATTCATATTTTCTACTCATTCTGTAGTAGTACCAAAGGTTTGTTTTTGAACACTTTCGAGATGTTGCTTTTGCTTCAGGTAAAGGGGAAGGCCGCCATTGATGTTGTTTGTAATCCCTTGGGAAAATCAGGCGGTGCTTTGATTCAACAGTTCATGATCTTAACTTTTGGCTCTTTAGCAAACTCCACTCCCTACCTGGGAGGAATACTGTTGTTCATTGTTCTTGCATGGTTGGGGGCGGCAAAGTCTCTGGATTCACAGTTCTCTCCATTAGCCAAGCAAGAGCTGGAGAAAGAGAGGGTGAAGGGAAAGAGCAGGGAACCTGTGATTGATGTTTCTGCAAAAGAAGCTAAAAGCCTGGTGGAGAAGGAAGATAATGGCTCTCTTCCTGAACCTGAATCATCAGCAAATGGTTCAGCTCTGCAACAGAAGATAGTTTCAGAGCCTGAAACCCCAACCCAGCTTCCTCAGTAAGGTTTTTCTTCAGAAAATTTTTCAGCAGGCCTCACCACCCCTTCAAAGGTTGATTTGAGATGTTTAACAGATGCTTGAAACTTGATACTTCAATCATCAAATAGAGAAAATTAGTGGGAGGTATAGCAGTGGTTTCTTTTTATCTATTTTTTCAAATGAAATAAACTGCCTTAGCACTTTGTTCATGCATGCACCTTTGTTGTGAATCGCTCCTATGTTACAACTGCATTTTTTTTTTTTTGGGGTTGGATCTCTTGGAAGAGGAGGATACATCAAAGCTTTTTTTTTGGGTTGGATCTCTTGAACTTAAACACAGGAGTTATTGATAATCTCTTGCATGCTTTGAATGATTCTAATTGGTGATCAAACATATGAATAAAATTTGTAATTTTAAAAATGCATTTTTATAGTGTTTGATCATCCTTAAAATTTTCACATATTCAATTAATAAATAAATTGTCATAGAAATGGATGAAATTTGATTTTCGTATAAATATTATTTGTTCATCATGATTAATAATATTTGTTAAATTTAAAATTTATTTGGAAAGATAGATATGAAAACAAAAACTCAGTCACCTCATCTGAGACGTGAAACATCTGCATGATGTGACCATTGCAAGTCATTAGTCATTTGCGCTAAATGTTTGATTGTTTGAGTAGTTGCATATTATTCTTAGTCAATATAAATAATACAAATGCATCAATTTAAAACCACCCAAACCTTGAAAGCATCTCTAAAGACCTATGAAGACCAAGTATTCTTCATTCAGTCATCGTTAAATTATCCTAAAATATATGCACTAACACCCTTCAAATGCACCAAAGTTTGCAATTCCATTATATTGATGCTCTAAGAAATGCGTACACTGTTTGAGAATCTTGTGCGGATAAGCCTAAAATAAATTGAATTACCCTCATTTGCTCTGGCCAGCATGCTAAATGATCAAGTCAATTAGAAAGGAGAAAAATTTGCGTACGTAATAAGTACGTAAAACTGCGTACATTTGTGGGTTATATGGAGGTTATATGGTGGTAACATGGGTATAACTCAGATGTAATTTCCATATAACCTCCTTGTAACCTCCTTATAACCCAAATGTACGTAGCCCTGCGTACTTGTTACATACACAAAATTTTCCCCTTAAACAGAGAATGCTACCGAGTTAAAATTAAAAAAAAAAAAAAACAAAAAAAATATTTGATTAGGCATTTGGAAATTAGAATTAAGATGATATGAATTTGGTTTTCAATAAATGATAATTTGATTAAGTATTTAGAAATTGATTAAATTTGATTCTGTATAAATTATATATTTTTAACCATATTTAATAAAAATTATATGGAATGATAGATATAAAAAGCAATCAAAAAGGAGGATAATCATTTTTCTTCATAAAACATGATAAAAATAGAGGTATATCACCCATCATTTCGTTTAGAAATGAACGAGAAAGAAACTTCAACATTTTGTGATTCCACAAATGCATTAATTATGTGATTGAGAGTGTTTCACAAATACATCCAGTGATTCCACAAATGCATTAATTATGAAGTTGACTGGAATTCTACTAGTTTTGTAATTAACAGCATTTCAAGTACTATGTATGCAATTATCCGTCTCTTTTTTTAAATTCAAGAAGGCAGAGGTGGCGAAGTAGCTCTCTTTCTCTTGTTAGATCCTTAGTTTCTTGGCATTTATCACTATTATTAAATGGTGGAAATTGTTAGTGTTAGCAGACTCTTAATTATCCTCTTGTCTGTCCGTTTATCTTCCAAACAATTGTTCGCAGTTGGAAGTAATAATACAGACTACGAATCACTCATTGCATTCAAGAATCAGTTTCTAAAGCAAAGTAATGTGGATTCTTCTACCATTTTTTGCGAGCTCATGGAATGCCACCAACCACTTTTGCTCATGGGAAGGGGTCACGTGCAGCTTCAAGCACCGCGACAGAGTCACAGCTTTGGATCTCCATTCCGTCGGGTTGGTCGGTCCTCTTCCTCCTTCCATATTCAATCTCACCTTACTGAGAAGGCTTGATCTCAGCCTCAACAAGCTGTATGGTAAGATCCCTCGAATTCTGGCTTGCTTACCACGACTACAACATCCTGACTTGAGCTTTAACTCATTCTATGGAGACATTCATACTTTTTTGACAAAGAAATATAGCTTTGTTCTCCAAATTCTGGACTGCCAACAACCATATGATCACAGAAAATATAGCTCTTCTTATCAACCCCATGTCCCCACTCAAATTCCTCTGTTTCGATAAAAAAAAAACATCATTGGCACCATCCCACCTTCACTTACCAATCTATCCTTCTTGGAAAGTTTTTGTGCCTTATCTAACCATCTAGAGGGAGGCATCCCACCAGAGATTGGTGTTCTTCATATGTTAAAAGACTTTAATGCGGCTAATAATAAACTTTCAGGGAACATTACTTTCTTCATTCTACAACCTATTATCACTTCGTAGAGTTTCAGTGACAAATAATCACCTATCTGGTTACGTTTCATCTAATATTGCCCAAGCTTTTCTAAACGTTGTAATCTTTTATTTTGCCGAAAATAATTGCATTGGTTCACTTGATCAAGCTCTTTAAAATGTGACCAGCTTAGTCATTTTGAACATTAGCATAAATAATTTCACAGGAGTGGTGCCACCAGACTTTGGAAAAACGTATAATCTTAGACACCTCAATATGGAATCTAACCAATTTGAAGCAAATGATGCAAAAGACTGCCAAGGTATGGGCAACTTTCCCCCAAATCGAGGTCGGTTTGAGCTTTTATGAAGAAAATCTTACTATCATGCATGATCAACCGTATAGATGTTTAGCTAAGTTAGATGCATGTGTAGGAACAAACCACACTTGATTTCGTTGAGTATAAAGTGAGATCGAAGCGATTTAGTGTGGATGGTTCTCGGCTTAGGCTGATGGGGGACGATGAACGGATGTCGTCCGTTTAGCGCGTGTATTGATCCAACAGACGAGACGACGTCGAACTAGAAATGGTTCGTGAATGCGAGATGCATGGTGATTGAGTCAGCTGGCGGCGCTGAACCAGAACACGATGAGGATTACGTGGCAGCTGAGCTTGTTAAATAAAAAAATAGGGATTTAAGATTTATTTAATTCTAAGAACTTAGAAAATTTATATCCTTGTATAGAAAAATCATAAAAATAAAAGAAAAATACCCTCTTGTTCAGTGAACAAAGGAGAACAACGTGGAATAAAAATTAAAATTATTTGACTTATATTTTATTTTTAATTAATTAAATACTCTCAGTAATATTTTAATTTTAATTGAAGAAATACTAATCATCATGCCTTGAGATTTTGGGGTTTTAAACCTTCAATCATTAGGAGTGTTCTCAGATTTTTCCAAGAGTTAGAGAACACCTCTAGTGTTGAAGCCTTAATTTTCAAAATAAATCACCTTTATTTAATTAAAAAGATTAAAATATAAATAAAAAAAATATAAAACTTATTTTGATAAATTCACTGTGATAAGATGACCCCAGGAAAAATATAAATCAAGTTTTAATATTTATGTAAATTACTATGGTTAATTAAATTCTAAAATCTCATTAAAATTAAGATAAATAAAATAATATTAAAAAAATCATCCCACACTGTAAAAACTAGTCACATTAACTCTTTGTAAAAATTTGAAATCATTTTAAATTAATTTACCCGCAAAACTTGATTTTCTAAGCTAAATTTGATATTTGGATTAACATAATTATATAAATTAAATTAAAAGTAAAAAAAATTATAAAAAGTGGTTTTGATCAGAGACACTTAAGAAAAATAAAATTGAAATTAAAATAAATATTTGATTTTTAAATTATATTTTAAATTTTAAATAGTTAATAATAATAAAAAATAATAAAAATCACTAAAATTAAAAAATACACCAAAATGCCACAATTGATATCCTGATCACTTGGGAGTAATTAAAATATTTTTCCTAATTTTCTAAATAAAGTTATATATTTTTTAAAGGCTTAAAAAATAAAACTTCCATAATTTTGCACTAAAATAATTAAAATAAATAAAATATAAATAACAAAAATATGGAATTTATTTTTTTGGGTTCCCAACACTCAGAGAGATTTAATAGAAGTATAAAAATTAATTTTCAACTTAAATAATATTTTATATTTAATTAAAACTCAAAATCATTAAATAAATCTTACAATTAAAATATAACTTGAAAAATCATGAAAATTATTCCTAGTGGTCCTCTAACCTAGGTAAACCTCAAATAATTTTTCTAAGGACAAATAGTTTGTTTTGATTGATTAAATGAATTAACCTTGAAAATTCTCTATTTTTGAATAAAATAATTATTTAAATTAAATTAAATTTTTAAAAATCATATTTTGTCTTATGATATTTTAGTTAACCCATGAGTTGGGTACTAAAAAAATTTCAAAGTCATTTGAGTTATATTTAATGAGTTATAAAGTGGGGAATCCTAAGAACAAAATAATAATTTTGAATTTTTATGCCTTAATTAAATTTTACTTGGGTTTGTTATTTTATTTTTTAGAAAACACTTATCAGTATAGGATGTATAAAAAACTGGCAACCCTGATAAAGTCGTTATATTCTGAATGCGATGATTATTAGCAGTCCTCACATAAATTTTATCACCAAATCTTCAATACAACATTATGCGTTACACTGTATTCATGATATTTCTTTAGCTTGAAGAGTTTTGTCGATAGTGGCAAGCAGGGCTGTAGGCGGTGGTCGATAGTGTTCAGTAACTACAGAGATTGATAGTTTAAACTGATACTTCAATTATGTGTTATTCATTACACCACATTTGAAATACATTGTCACACTTTATTTGAGATACTTCGTTTGCTAGCAGAGTTTGAAGGCAATAGCAAGCAAGGGGAATATTCAGTGGTTGACGACATCGTCTGTGGTTGGCAGCTATGAAGGCCAGAAGTTATCGTCAAGTTTTCAGTCCATAACAACATTAGAATTCGACTCCTCCTCCCCCTCCAGTGAAGAGATGTGGTCTATTTATAGACTTTAGAGTAGGGCGTTAGGTCATTCGATGAATAATTACAACGACCGCTTGATCAAATTGTTTGTATTGATCTCCTTTGATTAAAGGGGGTTTTCAATGATTTGATGGTCTTAATGACCTCAAAATCAAGCGAGGTTAGGGACGTTGGATTCCTATCGTTGAGACGCTTGATTTGACTATAAGTATGCCAAATTTGGCCTCCAAAAATAGTTCAATGACTTCATGCAGGCTTGATCGGACTCGGATTAGACCAATTTTTGTATCACTTGGTTCGTCTTGTCAAAACCATCAGCTTGACTATAAGCTTGCTAAAATCAAAGCTTTGGATGATCATTAATTGAGAATTTTAACATTTATTGTTAAAAAAATACATTGAAATTCACGCTAGATATAAAAATTTCTTGATGATACATATATTATTCTTAAAAAATGTTAACAAAAGTTCTCAAATTCTTAAAACTAGAGATTAATTAATGTCGATACCCTCTTAGAAGCAGATGCAAGTGGACATTCAAGTTGCTCGAAATGTATGGTTATGACTATGTCTACTGAAGTCAAGTCAATTGTTGGAAATGTATAAATTAGAGACCGAAAGTCCATGAAGGCAATAAATTTCTTGAAAGATTTACATAGATACCACATAATTTCTATGCATTTACATATCTAAAACTTAAACAACAACAACTTTTACTTATATGACATTTTACATATGCTTGAAAAAGGTGTATTTCAATTTCTAAAAGTTATAATGGTGATACTTTTCATGTAATACCGAAATTTGGGTGGTATAAATGTAAGAAAAAGTAAACATTTAGGTGGTAGATATGCAGATACATAGGAATTGGGGTGGTAAGTTTGAAGTGGAGAGTCGTCGGATATCAATTGAAGCCAACTGTCTAAATGAATAAATGCATTGCTGATTAATAGAACAACCACCCCCTTCATAATTGCTAAATTTAAAAACTATATGTGTAAGCAACTTAGATGATGTGATCAATGCAAGTCATTACTCATTTGCATTAAATGTTTGGTTGGTTGAGGAGTCGTCGCATATTTGTCTTAGTCAATATATATAATACAAATGCATTAATTTAAGACCACCCAACTTTGAAAACACCTTTAAAGACCATATATTTATCATTCAGTAATCGTTAAAAATATTCAGAAATAAATGCACTAAGAAATGTGCACACCGTTTGAGAATATTGATTAAAAAGAGGATAATCAATTTTCTTCATAAAACATTATAAAAATGAAGGTAGGTCACCCATCATTTCATTCAGAAGCGGATAAGAAAGAAACTTCAACATATTGTGATTCCACAAACGCATTAATTATATGCTTGACAGGAATTTGTTTCCAGTACTATGCATGCAATAATCCGTTTCTTTTTATAAATTCAAGAAGGCCTATATCACTGGCATATATTACTGCTATTCAAGAAAGCAACTTCAACAACTCTCTTTCTCTTGTTAGATCCTTGGTTTCCTTGCATATATCACTCCTATTCAATGGTGGAAATTATTAGTGTCAGCAGACCTTTAATTATTCTCTTGTCTGTCTTCAGTGTATCTTCCAAACAATTGTTAGCAATTGGAAGAAATAATACTGACTACGAATCACTCATTTCGTTCAAGAATCAGTTTCAAAAGCAAAGCAATGTGGATTCATTTACCATTTTCATGAGCTCATGGAATGCCACCAACCACTTTTGCTCATGGGAAGGCGTCACGTGCAGCTACAAGCACCGCGACAGAGTCACAGCTTTGGATCTCCGTTCTATCGGTTTGGCTGGACCTCTTCCTCCTTCAATATTCAATCTCACCTTTCTGAGAAGGCTTGATCTCAGCGCCAACAGTCTCTATGGTGAGATCCCTCCAATTCTAGCTTGCTTACCACGACTACAACATCTTAATTTGAGCTTTAACTCATTTGATGGAGACATTCAAGCTATTCTAACGATGAACCATAGCTCTGTTCTCCAAGTTCTGGATCTTGCCAACAACCATATCACAGGAAAAATACCTCTTGTTATCAACTCCATGTCGCCACTCAAATTCCTCGGTCTCGATAAAAACAACATCATTGGCACCATCCCACCTTCACTTACCAATCTATCCTTTTTGGAAAGTTTTTATGTCTTATATAACAATCTAGAGGGAAGCATCCCACCAAAGATCGGTGTTCTTCATAAGTTAAAAAATTTTAATGTGGCTGATAATAAACTTTCAGGTAACATTCCTTCTTCATTCTACAACTTATCATCACTGCGCAAAGTTTCCATGGCAAATAATCACCTCTCTGGTTACCTTTTAGCTAATATTGCCCAAGCTTTTCCAAACCTTGTAATTTTTTTTTGTGGTGGAAATAATTTCATTGGTTCACTTGATCAAGCTCTTCAAAATGTGACCAGCTTAGTCCTTTTGGACATTAGCAAAAATAATTTCACAGGAGTGGTGCCACCAGACCTTGGAAAAATGAATAATCTTATAAGCCTCAATATGGCAGAAAACCAACTTGAAGCAAATGATGCAAAGGAATGGAGATTTCTCGACTCATTAGCAAATTGCACCAGTTTACAAGCTTTAGGTCTTTATGATAACAACCTTCGTGGAAGGCTTCCGAAATCGTTTGGGAACCTCTCCATTGAGCTTCAAAAACTAACTTTAGGATCTAATCACATTTTAGGAAGAATCCCTTTTGAACTTAATAGGTACACCAATCTAATTAGGTTATGGATGGAAAATAATCTTTTTGAAGGTTCTATACCAGAGACCATTGGAATGCTTGGAAGGCTACAAAGTTTATATTTTTATGGGAATGATCTTACAGGAATTATTCCTTACTCCTTAGAAAATCTCACAAGACTTAACCAGTTATTTTTAAGATCTAATCAATTAACAGGCCATATACCTTCAATCCTAAAAAACCTCCAACATCTCATTTTGTTGGATCTCAGTGATAATAATCTAACTGGCTGGATTCCGAGAGAAATTTTTTTCTTTTCTTTCTTGTCAAATGCTTTAAATTTGTCTTATAACTCTTTCACTGGGTCTCTACCAATAGAAGTTGGTCGTCTAAGAAATCTCTTTTACCTTGATTTTTCTAATAATAATTTGAGAGGTGAAATTCCGAAAACACTTGGAGGCTGTCAATCATTGCTTGAATTATATATGGGATACAACTTCTTCCAAGGCCCCATCCCTATTTCTCTAAGCAAGATGAAGAGTCTTGAAATACTAGACCTTTCACATAATAATTTATCCGGTGTTATTCCTCAATTTCTACAAAAACTTATCTTTCTTAACAACTTGAATCTATCATTTAATAATCTTGAAGGGGAGGTGCCATATGAAGGTGTCTTTGCAAATTTCAAAATTTTATTCTCTATTCTTAACATTGTAGTTATGTTATTCATCCTTTTGTTGTGCTATACTTTGCTTTATAGAAGAAAAAGAAAAAATGATTTAAGAAATGCATCTGGTTTATCTTTAAGCCCTCCATATCCAAAAATTTCCTATGCAAAATTAGTTGAAGCTACAAATGCTTTCTCCACTACGCACCTAGTAGGATGTGGAAGATATGGCTCTGTTTTTGCAGGCAACTTAAGAGATTATGATGATATTGTGGCTATTAAAGTATTTAACCTTGAGGTTCATGGAGCTTTGAAGAGTTTTACATATGAATGTGATGCATTAAGAAGCATACGACATCGTAATCTTGTACGTGTACTAAGTTCATGTTCAAGCATTGATATTCAAGGCAATGAGTTTAAAGCTTTGATCTTTGAATTCATGCCAAAGGGAAACTTAGACACGTGGCTCCACCAAGAACTAGAGATTGATGAAGATGATGTTCTCTCTTTGGAAAAAAGATTAAGTATTGCCATCGATGTTGCAAATGCTTTGGAGTATCTTCACCATAGTTGTGAACCACCAATCATTCACTGTGACATAAAGCCAAGTAATATTCTACTTGACAATAACATTATTGCACATGTGGGTGATTTTGGACTCTCAAGAATGCTTTATAAGAATGTGAATATATCTCTTCAAGGTTCTTCCAACAAAAGTGACATTAAAGGAACTATTGGCTATATTGGCCCAGGTGATGTGATGATTCTTCCTCTCAATGTTAACATTAATGATGTCATTTCCTCTCAAAGATTTATGGTATTTTACAAAAATATTTTTTCAAACATATATTTACATTTTATCGACAGAGTATGGTGAGGTAGCTCCCCTGTCTCCATCTGCAGATGTTTATAGTTTTGGAATAGTATTACTAGAGATTCTTACTGGAAGAAGGCCAACCGATGACGTTTTCAGTGATAACTTAACTCTACATAATCACATTAAAATGACATTGCCTCATGGAATCAACTACATAGTAGATCGTAAAATGTTTACAAAAGAGCAAAGAAATGCTAGCAAAGCGGGTGGAGAACAACCAAGGTGGTTTAGTTGCCAAAGCATCAACAAATGCTTGCTTTCCTTGATAGAATTAGGTCTCTCTTGCTCAGTTTCATCTCCAAAAGAAAGGCCTTCCATGAAAGATGTTACTGCAAAGTTACACCGAGTTTCTTATGTACCTTCAATCTGATGAAAAAGATATGTTCTTCAAGAAAAGCTAGTATGTGGAAGCAACAAGTTTTTGTTGTTTGTGTTTTTAATATTAGTTTCAATATGCGATGAAGTATATGTAGAAAGATGCATGTGGATAGCCATAGCTTATTTCTCTTTTGTAAGGCTTGCGTCATCAAGATACTTTTATACTAAAATTTTGTAGAAAATAATAATTAAATGAAATTAAATTTCATTTTTTTAAAAAAAAATTTGTTTGATTATTCAAAGATTTTAGACATAGAAATTATGTAAAATTTTTGATTACTTTGTTATGCAACAACTAAAGTCGATACCATCACCTTATTAGAAGCAGACCGAAATTCCATGAAGGCAATACATTTCTTGAAAGATTTACATAGAAACCACATAATTCCTATGTATTTACATATCTAAAACCTTAACAACAGCAACTTTGATATAAATGACATTTTACATATGCTTGAAAAGGCCTATTTCAATTTCCAAAAGTTATAATTGCGATATTCTTATGTGATACCAAAATTTGTGTGGTATAAATGTAAAAAAAAAAAGATAAATAAACGGGTTTAGGTATTATAAAGGCCTGATCGACCTCAACTTGATCGACCTCAAATTGAAAGCAATCAATGGCTTAAGCAATTAAGACTTTTTGTAAAATCAAGTAATCAGATATATGTATTTTAAATTGTAACTTTAAACATTTTAATAGTAAATGTTTAATATATACTTAGATGCTCATATGCTCTTCTTTAAGTTTATTTTTGCATTACATGCTCTTTAATATTATTAAATTTATTTTCTTGTTTTCTTTAAATTTACAAAATACTTGACAATTTCTTTTCAATTACTTATGAAGGACAATTATAACTGTTAATTAAGTGATTCAATTGAAATCAAATTTGGTTTAATTTGAAAAGTATATCCTTGGAAGAAAATCAAATTTAATTTAACATAATATTTTGCATTTTCATATTCAAGTATGTATGTATGTATGAATGTATGTATGCGTGTGTGTGTAGTGTGTTTATGTGTGTGTTGATTGTTTTTGTTGTGTGCCAAAAGATTCATAGCAACAAAGCCATAGTAGTTAGCCACATAAATCATAATTGAAATATGTAGTAGCAATTAGCTACATAAGCCGTAGTTAGTCACATAGGTCATGGTTAAACTGTTGTTGGCTTCAATTTTTGACGTTGCACACTTGGATGTCCACAAGAATGATACAGGGTAGTATTCAGTTTCTCGTAGTCCATGACATCCTCCTGGTAAGTGCCTCAAGCGCAGAATCATGATCGATACCGATTCAGCCCTACCCAAGAGAATTCACCATAGGACAATGTAAATTCTAACATAGGGCATGCTTGATGTCCATTACGGTGCCTTAGAGGCCATATCCTGCCTAGTCAGAGCTTCTGGTGGCCGAACGAAGTCATCAAACGTTCTCAAGCACATTTTGGGAAAATTTGGGTTGTTAGACCAATCTACCTTAGTAAGGATTTTTTTTCAGAAAATTGTTCAGCAGGTCTCACTACCCCCTGAAAGGTTGATTTAAGATGTTTAACAGATGCTTGAAACTTGATATTTCAATCATTAAATCGAGAAAAATAGTGGGAGGTATAAGAGTGGTTTCTTTTTATCTATTTTTTCAAATAAATAAACTGCCTTAGCACTTAGTTCATGCATGTACCTTTGTTGTTGATGCGTGCTAGAAAATTTGTGGCGGTAGAGTAACGGACTATCGTCTTAGCGTTATACGAAAGTTCAGCACACACACTGTTGAAACAGAAACAAGCGGTGATGACTCCAGCTATTTTTTCTTGGAAAAACCGTAAGGAAAAAATCATGGGGCCTGACCCAGTTGCGGAAATCCGCTATTGATTGATGATAACAAAAATTTATTGTCTCACGGACAAGAAAGAGTAACTACATTTTTTAGATTACAATGTCGACTGACGGCGTCTGGTTGGTAATCGATGGTGGTTAGCGGTGGTCGATGATGGTTGACAGAGGTCGACGACAGTAGGCGGTGGTCGTCGGAGGTCGGCGGTGGCCTTCGAAGATCGACAGTGGTCGACGGTGGTTGACGACGGAGGTTGGCGGTGTTCGACGACGATCGACAATGATACTGAGCAGCAGCTTCTCGTTAAGGCATTAGACTCTCTCTCTAGATTTCAGCTTCCTCACATGTGAGGGTTGGGGTCTATTTATAGTGTTCTGGTTGCAATTAATGCAAAAATGTCAACTATTTTGATCGGACAGTCTAGAGAGTTTCCTTCGATCATGCGCCGTTTAATGGACATTTGAGTGTCTTAACGATGTCGGAATTGAGTGATCTTAGGCTCGTTGGATTTGTCTTGTCGGGACGCTCGATTCAAGTATAAACTTGCTAGTGTCGACATCTGTTTGATCTTCCAAATGTGTCTAGAAATATTACATGGGTTGTTTAATCACTTGATCTGAGCTTGATTTGACTCGAATTGGACTATTTTTTATATCATTGGGTTGTCTCATTGAGCCGGTCAGTTTGACTATAAGTTTGCTGAAATCAGAGTTTTGGATGAATTTTTATCAAAATTTAAACTTTTTTTGCTCAAAATATCATCTCTGGATCTGTGTCATATGTCGAGATTTGTGTCAGATGATGAAAATTTGTTACTGACATATCAATTGTGAATCACTCTTTTGTTACAATTGTATTTTATTTTATTTTTTTGGGTTGGATCTCTTGGTAGAGCAGGATACATCAAAGCGTTTTTTGGGTTGGATCTTGATGCGTGCTAGAAAATTCGCGGCGGTAGAGTAATGGATTATCGTCTTAGCGTTGCACGAAAATTCAACACACACTCAGATGAAAGTGAATCAAGCTATGATCACACCAGAAATTTTTACGTGGAAAACCCGTAAAAAGGGAAAAACCACGGGGCCTTGCCCAGTTGTAAAAATCCACTATAAGATGATGATTACAGATGCCCCTTGTCCCACAGGCGGGAAAGGGTTACTAGCTTTCCACGTTATGACGTTGACTGATTACGTCTAGTAATTGGTGGTTGACGGAGGTCAGCGGTGATCGGCGGCGTTCCACGGTGGTCGGCGGTGGTCGACGGTCGTTTTAGACGATCAGTGGTGGTCGACGGCGATCAACGATGACGGGATGATCTTGGACTTGAGCACCTTATCAAACCCTCAAGTTCTCTCTTAAGCCTCCTCCCCCCTCATGTGGGGGGTGAGGTTCTATTTATAGTGTTTTGAGTGCAATTAATGCAGGAATATGAACCATTTTGCTCTATTTATTTTGAGCGCCTTAACGATGTCGGAATTGAGTAATCTTGGGCTCGTTGGATTCGTCTTTTCGAGATGCTCGATTCGACTATGAACTCGCTAATTTGATGGACAGTTTGACCTTTCAAATGCCTCCGAAAATCATGTAGTAGTGGTTTAATGACTTGATCCGAGCCTGATTTGACTCGGATTGGACTAACTTTTAATATGATTGGTCCGTTTCATCGAGCCAATCAGTTTGACTATAATTTTGCTGAAATCGGAGTTCCGGATGACTCGCAATCGAAGTTTGAATGTTCGTGCTCAAAATATTGCATCGAAATATTTTGCATCGAGATTCATGCTGGATTATGATGATTTGTTGGTGGCGTATCAGATCTCTTGCACTTGAACATAGGAGTTATTGATGATCTCTTGTATGCTTTGGATGATTCCAATTTGTGATCAAACATCTGAATAAAATCAGTAACTTTAAAATTGTATTTATATTATGTTTGATCATTCTTAGTAATTTTCAATATTCGATTAATTAATAAATTATCATAGAAATGGATGAAATTTGATTATCATATAAATATCATATTTTTCATCATGATTAATAATATTTGTTAAATTTAAAAATTACATGAAAAGATAGATATGAAAATAAAAACTCAGTCACGTCTTCTGAGACGTGAAGTGAAGTATCCACATGACGTGACCAATGCAAGTTGTTAGCCATTTACATTAAATGTTAAGTTGACAGAGGAGTCGTCGCATATTATTACAAATGAATAATACAAAGGCATTAATTTAAGACCACCCAAACTTTGAAAGCAACTTTAAAGAAGACCTGTAAAGACCAAATATTCGTCATTGGTTAAAATATTCTCAAGTATATGCACTAACGCCCTTCAAATTCATCAAAATGTGCACACCGTTTGAGATTGTTGTGCGATTTGGCCTAAAATAAATCAAATTACCCTCTTGTACGCTGACCTGCATGCTAAATGCTCAAATCACTTGAACTGAGAAAGCTACTGAGTTAAAATTAAAAAAACACAAAAAAATTATTTAAAATAGTATTTATTCACCGCTTGATCATTCATAAGTTTTTCATGTTTGATGAGTAAATAAATTATCATAGAAATTAATGAAATTTGATTTTTGTATAAATTTTATATTGTTAATCGTAATTAATAACATATCTTAAAAATTATATGGAATGATAGATTTAAAAAGCAAAGAAAATAAAAAAGTAAATAACCACTTTTCTTCATAAAACATTATATAAAAAAAAAGTAGGTCACCATCATTTCATTCAGAAATGACCAAGAAAGAAACTTAAACATATTGTGTGACTCCACAAATGCACTAATTATGTCGTTGACTGGAATTCCATTACTTTTGTAATTAACAGTGTTTTAAGTACTATGTATTCAATTATCCCTTCTTTTTATAAATTCAAGAAGGCAGAGGTGGCGAAGTAGCTCTCTTTCTCCTATGTTTCTTGGAATATATCACTGTTATTCAATGGTGGAAATTATTAGTGTCATCAAACTCTTAATTATTCTCTTCTCTGTCTGTTTATCTTCCAAACAATTGTTAGCAATCGGTAGAAATAATACAGACTACAAATCACTCATTGCGTTCAAGAAGCAGTTTCTAAAGCAAAGCGATGTGAATTCTTCTACCATTTTCTCGAGCTCATGGAATGCCACTAACCACTTTTGCTCATGGGAAGGGGTCACATGTGGCTACAAGCACCGCGATAGAGTCACAGCTCTGGATCTCCGTTCTGTCGGTTTGGCCGGTCCTCTTCCTCCTTCCATATTGAATCTCACCTTCTTGAGAAGGCTTGATCTCAGCTTCAATAGGCTCTATGGTGAGATCCCTCCAATTTTGGCTTGCTTACCACGACTACAACATCTTAACTTGAGCTTTAACTCATTTGATGGAGACATTGATGCTATTCTGACGATGAACCATAGCTCTGTTCTCCAAGTTTTGGACCTTGATAGCAACCATATGATCACAGGAAAAATACCTCTTGTTATCAACTCCTTTTCGCCACTCAAATACCTCAGTCTCTCTAATAACGACATCGTTGGCACCATCCCACCTTCACTTACCAATCTATCCGTCTTGGAAAGTTTTTATGCCTTCTCTAACCATCTGGAGGGAGGCATCCCACCAGAGATTGGTGTTCTTCATAATTTAAAAGACTTTAATGTGGCTGATAATAAACTTACAGGTAATATTCCTTCTCCTTTCTACAACTTATCATCACTACGCAGAGTTTCAGTGACAACTAATCACTTCTCTGGTTACATTTCAGCTAATATTGCCCAAGCTTTTCCAAACCTTGTAATCTTTTATTTTGGTGACAATAATTTCATTGGTTCACTTGATAAAGTTCTTCAAAATGTGACCAGCTTAGTCCGTGTGGACATTGCCAAAAATAATTTCACAGGAGTGGTGCCACCAGACCTTGGAAAAATGAATAATCTTATACGCCTGAATCTGGCATATAACCAACTTGAAGCAAATGATGCAAAGGATTGGAGATTTATTGATTCATTAACAAATTGCACAAGTTTACAAGTTTTAGGTCTTGATCATAATAACCTCCGTGGATGGCTTCCGAAATCTTTTGGGAATCTCTCTATTGAGCTTCAAATAATAACATTAAGATCTAATCACATTTTAGGAAGAATCCCTTTTGAACTAGATAGGTATACCAATTTAATTTCTTTAGGGATGGAGAGAAATCTTTTCAAAGGTTCTATACCTGAGACCATTGGAATGCTTGGAAGGCTACAATTTTTAACTTTGGATGAGAATATTCTTACGGGAATTATTCCTTACTCCTTAGAAAATCTCACAAGACTTAACCAGTTATTTTTAAGATCTAATCAATTAACAGGCCATATACCTTCAGGCCTAAAAAACCTCCAGCTTCTCACTATGTTGGATCTGAGTTATAACAATCTAATTGGTTGGATTCCGAGAGAAATTTTTTTCATTCCTTCCCTTTCATTTTTTTTGGATTTGTCTTATAACTCTTTGATTGGGTCTCTACCACTAGAAGTTGGTCTTCTAATAAATCTCATCTCCCTTGATTTTTCTAATAATAATTTGAGAGGAGAAATTCCAAAAACACTTGGAAGTTGTCAATCATTGCTTGAATTATATATGGGATACAACTTCCTCTAAGGCTCAATCCCTATTTCTTTAAGCAGTGTGAAGAGTCTTGAAATACTAGACCTTTCACATAATAATTTATCTGGTGTTATTCCTCAGTTTCTACAAAAACTTATCTTTCTTAACAACTTGAATCTATCATTTAATAATCTTGAAGGGGAGGTGCCATATGAAGGTGTCTTTGCAAATTCCTCAGAAATATCTCTCATTGGAAATGAAAAACTATGTGGCGGAATTCTATCACTTCATTTGCCAAAATGTGTTGCCAAATCATCGTCAACAAAACTTCATCATTTAATCAAAATTTTATCCCCTGTTCTTATCATTGTAGTTTTGTTATTCATCCTTTTGTTGTGCTCTACTTTTCTTTATAGAAGAAAAAAGAAAAATGATTTAAGAAATACATCTGGTTTATCTATAAGCCCTCCATTTCCAAAAATTTCGTATGCAAAATTAGCTGAAGCTACAAATGCTTTCTCAACTACACACCTAGTAGGATATGGAAGATATGGCTCTGTTTATGCAGGAAACTTAAGAAACTACGATTCTACTGTGGCTATTAAAGTATTTAACCTTGAGGTTCATGGAGCTTTGAAGAGTTTTACATATGAATGTGATGTATTAAGAAACATACGACATCGTAATCTTGTACGAGTCCTAAGTTCATGCTCGAGCATTGATATTCAAGGCAATGAGTTTAAAGCTTTGATCTTCGAATTCATGCCAAAGGGAAACTTAGACACGTGGCTCCACCAAGAACATGAGGTTGATGAAAATGATGTTCTCTCTTTGGAAAAAAGATTAACTATTTCCATCGATGTTGCAGAAGCTTTGGAGTATCTTCACCATAGTTGCCAACCACCAATCATTCATGGTGACATAAAGCCAAGTAACATTCTATTGGACAATAGCATTATTGCACATGTGGGTGATTTTGGACTCTCAAGAATGCTTTTTGAAAATTTGAACATATGTTTTCAAGATTCTTTCAACCAAAGTGGCATTAAAGGAACTATTGGCTATATTGCCCCAGGTGATGTGATGATTCTTCCTCTCAGTGTTAAAATTAATCATGTCATTTCCTCCCAAAGATTTATGGTATTTTAAGGACATATTTTCTTAAGACATATATTTACATTTTATCTACAGAGTATGGTGAATTAGCTCCCTTGTCTCCATCTGCGGATGTTTATAGTTTTGGAATAGTATTACTAGAGATGCTTATTGGAAGAAGGCCTACCGATGACGTTTTCAGTGATAACTTAACTCTACATAATCACATTAAAATGATATTGCCTCATGGAATCAAATACATAGTAGATCTTAAAATGTTTAGAAAAGAGCAAAGAGAAGCTAGCGAAGGGGGTGGAGAAAACCCAAGATGGTTTAGTTGCCAAAGCACCAACAAATGCTTACTTTCCCTTGCAGAATTGGGTCTCTCTTGCTCAGTTCCATCCCCAAAAGAAAGGCCTTCCATGGAAGAGGTTACTGCAAAATTAAATGCAATTCGAGCTTCTTACGTACCTTCAATCTGATCAAAATGATATGTTCTTGAAGAAAAGCTATTATGTGGAAGCAACAACTTTTAGTTGTTTGTGTTTTTAATATTGGTTTCAATATGTGATGAAGTATGTGTAGGAAGATAGATGATGATATACAAAGCAATTTATTAATGACTTGCAATTTCTTTTATTAAAAACTTTCAAGCATTGTCTTCTACTATTATAAGAAAATATCTGCATTGAACTGGGAATTTTAGAAAAAAATATTATTCTCTAAAAAATAATAATAATTTGTAAATAACTTTGAAAGAAATTATTTCTCAGATATTTCGTGACAACAATTTAAGGAAATTTTCAACTAAACTAAAAAACATAATAATTTATAAATTTTCAGTATCAACTTATTTGATCTTCATGGGGAAATGTGCTAAATAAATTTTGACTTTAAAATAATTTTTTTATTAGAAATTCATGAAGGAATACATGGGTGTTTCCCTCACTTTCTTACTAGATACATCATAAATCTAAAACCTAAACAACAACAACTTTTACTTATATGACATTTTACATATGCCTGAAAAGGTGTATTTCAATTTCTAAAAGTTATAATTGTGATATTTTTTCTGTGATACCAAAATTTGGGTGGTATAAATGTAAGAAACAGTCAACTGGTTTAGGTGCTAGATATGTAGATGCATAGGAATTCCTGCTGGCCAACAACTGAATGCTCCAAGTTCTTGATCTCAGCTACAACCTTCACTAGCCAATCTCTCCTTATTGCAAGCTTTCTATGTCTTTGAAAATGGTTTGGAGCTACCGATCCCACTAGAGATTGGTGGTAGCCTTCGTCAGCTAAAATTCTCTAATGTTGGAGAGAACTTCTTGTCAGGTGACATCCCATCTTCATTCTACAACATATCATCACTACAGAATTTCATGATCAATGAATCGCTTCGTTGGTGAGATTTCGGTTGATATTGCCAAAGCTTTCAAAACCTGAATTTTTTTTTTATTTGCTCGAATCAATTTATAGGTTCGATTGTTCGAGCTTTTCAAAATGTTACCAGCCTTGTGTATTTGTGCAGTAGCAAAAATAACTTCACAGGAGTGGTGCCATTATATGTTGCAAGTGTTAAACTGGAAATAATTCAAGACCATTAATTGTCATAATTCAAGGGCATTAATTGCCCTGATATGGTGTAATTAATATTGATTCCATAGGCTGATGTTTAGGCTTAATTTCTGCTCTCAATTTACTGTTTTTCCTATTCTAAATCTTAGAATATTTGTATAAATACCACCAATCTTTGTACTAATTAGAATCAAGAAATACAAATATCTTCTTCAATTTTTACGGTATCAGAGCCTAAAATTTCCCGCTCGTAATCTCTGCCCTGTCCTCGAGCCTGAGCCGATCGAGCTCTGTTTCCTCCCCCGCTGAGATCGAGCTCTTTTTCCTCCCGCTCGTTCTGTCTCCCGTTCGCGACTCAATCCGAAATTTTGTCCTCCCGTCCGTTCTGTCTCCCGCTCGCTCAGTCTCCCGTTCGCGACTCAATCTTCTGTAACTCTGTCTCCCGCTGCGATCGAGCTCTGTTTCCTCCTGCTCGCTCTGTCTCCCGTTTGCGACTCAATCCGAAACTTCCGTCTCCTCTACTGCTGCAAGCCGCACGTGATCCACCTCGCCGCGAACCACCTCAACGCGATTCCTCGCTGCGATCGAGCTCTGTCTGTCTCCCCCTGCGATCAAATTTATTTTTTTTCCATGTGATTCTCTGTCACCTCCACTTCCCAATGGAGAGATCGGATATTGCAAATCCCATTGCAACAATTTTGACTGGTTCAAACTATAATTTATGGGTCCAAGGAATGAAAAGTTTTTTGATAGATCGCAAGCTTTGGCGTATTTTTACTAGAGATATCAATAAACCAACCAAACAGCAAAACAAAACTGAGGATAAATTTTCTGATTGCCTTGAAGATTGGGACTTCAAAAACCATTAGATTATTACCTAGTTTCGTAACACCTCTATTCCATCCATTCACATCCAATTTGCTAATTATGACACTGCAAAAGAAATTTGGGAATTCTTGGCCAATAGATATCAGACCACTGGACTTGCTCATTACTTCCAGTTATGGACTACGATTCATAATCTAAAACAAGAATCAGGTCAATCTGTGAATGATTTTCTTGCTCAAGTTCAACCGATTTGGAATCAACTATCCCAGGAAAAAGTAAGTGAAGATCACCTTCATCTTATTCAAGTTCTCATGGCTCTCCGACCTGAATATGAAGCAGTTCGAGCCTCTCTTCTGCACCGTCATCCTCTTCCCACATTGGATATGGCGGTACAAGAAATCATTTTCGAAGGAAATCGCCTCAATCTTGACAAGAACTCAAATTCTGAAATTGCACTTGCAACTACCCGTCCCTCATATCAGAAATCTGGCACCAACATATGTAAGAATTGCAAACAAGCTGGTCATGGTTTTGCCAATTGTCCGACTGTCGAATGCAGATATTGTCATACTCATGAACATATTCTCAAGAATTGCCCGACTCGTCCTCCACGGCCAAAAGGTGGGTCACTAAACCGAAGACCGTCTTGAAGCCTAGTGTTACTTCCGTCTCTGCTGCTACCACTGATAGTCATACTTCTATCACTATGAGTGATATAGAAGCACTATTCAAACAGGTTATCTCTTCCAATTCATCTACGACCATGTCTGCCACTCCGGGTAATCCCCATTGGCTTTTTGACTCTGCCTGTTGTAACCGTATGACTAACGATGTAAAATTATTATCCACCAAATCAACAATTTCCTTCTTGCCACCAATCCACACTGCCAATGGCGACAAAATGATTATCACTCACATTAGCCATGTATCTACCTCCGATGTTAGTCTTCCTGAAACCTACTGTATCCCTAACTTGTCCCTCAACCTTATCTCTGTTGGTCAGTTATGTGAACAAGGACTAACTGTGAATTTTTCTCCTTCATGTTGTCAAGTACAGGATCCACAAACGGGACAAATTCTTGGGACGAGTTGCAGGTGACAACGACTTTATATTTGCTTAAAATGTAATAACAGTTATAGATTCAATAAAGATGTATATATGTAAAGTATTCAATATTGGTAAAGTCACACTTATCGTAAAGTCACACTTATCAACGCAAGTAATATAGGGCTCTAATGGAGTCCTATATATCAATCCCATAGGGAATAAGTTTAGAACTACGATAAAGTATTGCTATAAGTTTAGAACTACGAACTAAGAATTTAGAAAAGCAATACTTTAATCACAACAACAAAGTTCAATTTGTTTATCTGTCACTGATTGACAATTGAAATAAATATGTAATTTTAATAACTATTAAATAACTAAATATACTAATGAAGGTACGAATGTGATATTCAATATAAGAAAACATCATTCTCCTTGTCAAGAAATTATAGTGAATGGATAAAGTGAATCAATTCAAATTATATTGTGCCAAATAGAAGCATATCTATTCTTTACCCTTTGGTCCAGATATAAAAAACATTGACTAATCCTACGCTTGTTTACTAAATCTGCGGCTATGCTGGGAGGATAACAGCTCTCACTTCGGAGCTCCTACGTTCCCCTCGTCTGAAGACTAACATCTACACTTCAGCACCCAAATGATAGGACCGAATTGGGGATTTTAGTTTGTCACTCTAAAATCTTCAATTCTGCACCCGATAATATTATTTCCCTATTTATTTGCACCCAAATTTCAAGGGCTTTTACCTCCCTGAATCTTGGATGTAATCTTCACTTTAGTTGTAAAACTCAACATATTTTAATAAATCAATTGGCCAGATTGAAAGTAAATTAAGATCGAAGTTAAAAGATCATCACTATTTCTTAAACATTTTCATGGCTTTACCAATTCAAATCACCATTTCACAAATCTCAAGGCAAGGAGAAAGACAAGAAAACTACTCAGAACTCATGAGGAAAACACAACAAAACTCGGAATTCATATATAAAAGTAAAGTCATAGAAACTATAACAAGTAAATAACAATTATCTCTAAATTCTCCCCAAGCAAACTCTTTGAAGTTTCTCTCTCTTTCATTTTTTACAGCACACATAATTCCTCTTCAAAGCGGCAAGGAGGAAGAAATCTCTCACTTTCCCTCCACTCTTATAATCTCTTGAAGAATTCCTCACAATGAACACACTCTAGAAAACCTAATTTCACTAACTACTACAATACTCCTACTAATTCTCTCTCTGTTTTCTGATTTTTGGCCAAAATGTTCTTTTAAAGTTGTGGATGAGTTTCCCCAAGAGTTGCTTAAGCATCCCTTCAAAATTCGTCATTATTCAATGCCTTGTTGGACTCAATGGCCGAGCTCGCCATCGGCGGCTTCGAGGGCGCCGTTGGTGGACCTTCATAATGAATTAATTCTGGAGCCTCGGAAAAATCTTGTCGTCGGCGCCCTAGTTTAATTATGCACACTTTGGTCTGTTTCGCTCCAAATTCATTTTTTTTTTGCATCTTTTTGCTCCAATAACCCTAATTCATCATTCCTGCAACAAAACATCAAAAATATCTTTATTTAAAGTGCAATATCATCAAAAACAGTATAAAATAGGTATGAAAATCTCAACATAATTTCTTCTGGTCAAAATCCCCCAAACTTAACTATTACTTGTCCTCAAGTAATTTTAGTACTACATAAAAGTTATGATCTATTGTAGTAAAGTTTTAATTCAGAAATACTATAAGTTTGATTTAAATAAATATCATAGTGAGATTTTCAGAAAAAATTCAAGTAATTGAATTAACTCTGCAGCCACAAGATTATCTAGTCATCAAGTTTAAGAGTTCTAGTCTTCTATTTATTTCAAGAATGCTTATATGTTGCAAGATTAAGTCACTTAGAATATTAAAAAGATAGGAACTTCATTAGAACTGTACTAGTAAAAGATCTAATCCATAGATTTAAGTTCAAGAATGTATTTAGGGTTTTCTCTTTGGGTAGGTCTAGTGAAACCAATTTTTGATTAGACACATCCTCAAGTTTCTCCTCACTTCCATATATATTTTTTCTTCCTTCTTTTCTTTTCTTTTCTCTTTTTTATTGGATTGTTTTCAATTCCTTCTTTTTTCCTTTTTCAAGT